ACTACTACTACTACTACTATTAATAGTGTTCTTACTTAGTACATCCCGGACAGCCTCAGGGTCAGTTACACTTCTGACGTCAGCTTAAGACCATTTAAGCCCTAGGGGGGGGAGGAGGAGAGGGAGAGTTTAGGGTTTAGGGTAGAGTTTAGGGTCTAGGGGTTAGGGTTTAGGGTGCGGGCTTGTTGCAAGAGCAGCTACAAGAACCCAACTAAACCCTTAACCACAAATCGTAGCCCGGAGATGACTTTGGTAGTTTCCCAAAAATTAGGGGACCACAATATAGACCCCAAAATACTATAATGCTTCTTATGGCGGCCCCCAAAAAAGGTAACCCTAAGTTTGGGAAACCCTAAAACCTAAATTGTAGTTTCCATTTTCTTTTCCATTATCCCAATATAACCCCTATATAATCCCTACATAATCCACTTCTGGCCATGTGACAGCATGGATCCCCGGCAGCTTGGGAATCCTTAGGCTTGCAGACTGAGAGCTTATATAAGGGAATCTAGGGGTATGTAGGGATTACATAGGGTTTCAGGGTTTAGGGTTTAGGGTTTCATAGGGTTATATGGGGATTACATAGGGGATCTATAGCCCCAATAATGCAGACTGCGCTTGAGTTCTGGTTGTCCTGCCTTTGGTTTACTGGGAATGAAGGCATGGAAAAGAACATGGAAACTACTATAATGGGTTATTTAGGGACTGCTATAAGGATCCATTCCTAGCTAACCAAAGGTAACTCGTGTCAGCACATGTACGTCTTCCCAACATTGCCAAACCAGCAGAAAGCAGAACTCAGCAGCCGCATTGACAACAGTTGAGGGGAGATGCAGGGAAAGCACAACTGAGGGCATGCAAATCTTACTGGGGGTTAGTAGGGAATAAAGGAACATATCCGTACATCATCCCTAAATAATATATTCCCTTTTTCCCTACTAACAATAAGTAAGCAAATCTTAAGAGAAGGTGGGAGGGGTTTAATCCCCCTATTATTCCCTGAATACTTCATTCTCCTCATTCCGTAGTATGTAATAACCAGCAAGCAAATCTTAAGAGTATTCCCTAAATCATCTATTCCCATATTCCCTACTAGCAAGATATAAGCAAATCTTGTAAATCTTAAGAGAAGGTGGGAGGGCGGGTTACTATCAGAATCCTCCTATTATTCCCTAAATACTTCATTCACCTAATTTCCTAGTATTTAATAACCAGCAAATCTTAAGAGTATTCCCGAATTAATTTATTCCCTTATTCCCTACTAACAAAATGTAAGCACATCTTAAGAGAAGTGGGGGGGTACGAATCAGAATCCACCCATTCCCCCCATGTTCCCTAAATACTTTATTTTCTTATTCCATACTTTTTTAAAGAAAAACCCTAAACCTTCAATCCTAAACCCATAACCCTAACCAACCAGCAAGGAAAATCTTAAGAGAAGGTGCTTTGGCCCCTCGTGGATAAGCTCGAACTTCAAGGTGCCGGGCTCTGCAGGCTCACGCCTTTTCGAGGCAAGGTACTTGGAGGGTCTTGGGGACTTAGTTGGTTTAGGGTTTAGGGTTTAGGGGGTTAATACTGGAAAAGAAAATGGAAACTAGAATATACTAAGGGTTTTGGGGTCATGGGGACTTAGTAAGTAGGATTACTAACCCACTTACTAAGTCCCCATGACCCTCCAAGTAATCTCTGGGAGTTTCGCATTTGACACTTCGTGTCAGAAGACTTACTATGTACAGGTTGTAGGGAATAAGGGAACACTTATGGAATTCTAGGGATTATATTCCTCATTGATTCACTACTGAACTCCAGTCAGAAGAGGAAGCAAATCTCTTTAGCAGTTATTGAGGCTTCCAGGAGGCCTGCATCAAAGAGTTGACCGTGTTCACGCGGTAAGTTCCATTGTTGGGGTGTTAACACGCCCATGCCAGGACTAGTTCTCCGAGATTCTCTTGTGGCGCCATGGAACATCAGGATTCATGAGTGGGTCTACTTTTCTGCACCTGTCTGGGGATGGCTCATCCATGACCACGCTGATTGCATCGCGGACGCCTCGGTTTCAAGATGCTCTCAAGACTCAGCCTATTTCATGATCCCAGCTGTCATCGGAACCAGCGAAGCGGGCATTAACAAAAACTCTCTCTTGCAATGCTTCAGCCCAATGGGAAGCTGCAGGGTGTGTTACGGAGGTAAAGTGAACCGGCGCAGCAAAGCCCTCAGCATCTCGCTTCGCAGCAAGGGCCGACATGTCCAGCTTAAAGAACACTCTCGCCTACGCTCCTGTCTGCAAAGTCACAAGCGTCGCAAAGGCGGCTGGTGACCGGTCCAGCTGCTTGCATCATAGGGATGTCCTGGGCAACCATGCCCGCAACTCATTAGTCACTTGTGATTGGATTCTGGGAATCTATTGCGTTCCAAGCCTTAAAAAAGGCTTCGTCCAGGCAAGCAGGTGATTCTCATGAACGCCAAGAGACATTGACCTCCAACAACCACACGTTGTAGTCGACATCCACCTCCAGGTCTGCAAGATCCCAGTATTTCGAATACTCACCAACTTGCGATTAAACCGTGGATGCAGGTGGCTCGGCTATTCCGCTTCGAGCCCTCGCCCCGGAATGCTTTCCTGATGTGTCTTGAGTTCGCGGGTGCTCTAAATTCATCGCCTCTCGTAGCTACTGTTGTGATCTTACGGCCGCTATGCTCATGGTATATGGGCGTGGAAGTTGTGTTGCGAGAGATGAGTATGAGCCTTGCCTGCGCACTAGTCCCCTTTCGACCTTTGACTCCAGGTTTGTAGGAAGGCCTTGCATCCTCAAGACTATTGAATATGTTCCTGCCTTACCTGAAAAAACCCTGAAGCTGAAAGGGGCCACCGAAACGTTTGTGAAACCTGCACCGTCTTCAGCGCTATCTTTTGCATAGCCTTCTGCTGATCTTGGGTGATACTTTCATACATCCTTGGAACTCAGACCTGTCTGTCAACCAAGCCGGGAGCACCATGAAGTCATAGCCAAACAGCTGGAAGCTGCACGAGCTGTTTTGAGGCCTCTGCAAGTTTTGTCGGCACCGTTGCCCGAATCTGATCAGGCTTGGACAAATACAGGAAAGCCCAGGTGCCTGGACAAGACTTCGGCCACACTCTGCAACGAGGCGATGACCACCTGCTGCATAGCTGGCCGCACCTGTCAAAGAGCAATCTGGCGGGTTGTCGCAACTCTGAGGGAATCCGTGCGTTCTGCGAGGCTAGTATCGACATCCTCGAAAGCTATGTCAGGCACCTCGTTGCCTAAACGAAGCATGCGCCACTCGTAGTGCGACAGGGGACTACCACCGAAATCTTCAGAAAGCAAGACTTGTAAGAGGACATAGCGGCAGCAAGGCGAAGCGCGCGCCTTCTCGGTCCAAACATCACGGCCAGCTGTCTCATGCAGGAGTTGCCGGTATCTCTCCTCGTCACAAGACACTGCTTGGGACTTGAAACTATATATTCCCGAATTAAGGGTTTAGGATTTAGGATTTGGCAGGGTTGGTAGTCCCCCTTCTTATCATGACATTGGGCAATTCCATGTACAGGAAACCCTAAACCCTAAACGCTGTGCTGTGTCCTGAGTCCATTGGCATCGCCAATCCTCATCATCCGGATTAAAATTCCTTGGTCTTGATATATAGGGATTACATGGGGGATTTATTGGGATAATGAAACAGAAAATGGAAGCTATTATATTATACTCATAAGGTATATATGGGGACTGTAGGGAATATATTGGGATAATGGAAAAGAAAATGGAAACTACTATTTAGGGCTATTTAGGGTTTAGAGTTTAGGGCAGGATGCAAGAGCTTCAGGATGTAGCATCTCTCCTGCAGATCGGATGGATAAGACAACCTTTAACCCTGAACCATCTGCGAGCCCTAAACCCTAAACCCTTTAGTCCCAGGTCCTTAACTTTGGTGACGGTCCTGTGGATCACAAGGGTTCTAATGAAGTCTGTTTATGCTTCCTTGACTTTCACAAAAATGAAGAGGCTGTCCAACTTCAAGGGTCAAGCAACAGGTTGAGCAATTGCGGTGTCAACACAGATGCCGGATTCATCCCAAAACTGGACATATGCTCAGTTTGCTTGACCAGCATCGGATGGTGCTTCATAATGATGGTGTGGGTCAGGTGTGTAAAGCCTTGACAGGTCACAGCATGTAAGGAGAGCAACCATGCTGATGCACAGTGTCGATGGAGCCATTTATCTTCTCGGTGAGTCCGGAGGTATTGGGAAGCTGCACCTGTCCAAAGAGTGGGGCGTACGCTGTGCAAACTTAGCTTCCGGCGGTCGGCAAAGTCATTGAGAGTGTACTCGTTCGCCGCAATGCGAATGTAACCTTCAGTCTTGCCCCTGAACACTCATGTTCCTCAATACCATGCTTCTTCTGTCCTGAAACATCTGACCCCAAGCAACCTGCTTCACTGTGCCTGGGCAAGCTCAGTTATTCTGCCCAAAACGGACATGGCAGGGTGCAGCAAGCATGCAAATTTACGGAGAAAAATTGCAGTGGCCGCTCATGCTACTTGTTATTTGGATCTTCTCACATCTGGGCTCTTCCCCAGTCTACATGCCGCCTAACATCTTTCAGCAGAAACGTCTGCCCTCGGAAAGAAACAAATCTTAAACATCAATGGCCTTAGCGACCTTCTGCCTAAACCCAAATCCTATCAGCCCAAAACTTGCGCTGTCCCTTCCCAGCTCTGTCTCCAGGAAGCACTCACTGTAGAAGTAGATGGTCAGCGGATTCAGGGAGGTAACCAGCACCCATTGCCGGAGGTCATGCTTCCGGGCGCCGATCCTTAAAGACCGCGGTTGACTGTTGCAATGTCGAGTATAGGCCTGAGTGTCCGGCGGACTAAGTAAAATGGAAAAGAAAAAAGAAACTACTGTTATACACAAACATTTGTATATATATAAAGAGAAAGCCGCTTTACGTAGGGACATTGGAAAATAGAATGGAAACTACGAATTATTTAGGGATAAACGGTACCCATTGGGGTAAAAGGGATAATGCAAAAGAAAATGGAAACTGTCCCTGGCACAGAAGCGGCTTGTTGCGTTTTGTAGGCTGGACTCACAATCTCAGGTCCATGGCAAAGACTTTGACAAGTCTAGTCTGTCTTGTACAGCTTGCTGTCTGGGCAGGGCACATGGCACCACAAGTTCCGAAACAACAAAAGATGAAGCTAGCGGGGCAGATGACACATTGATGAACTTGGGGTTCAGTCACACTCTGTGCAGTTTCCACATGCATGCACCCGATGTCTGTTCACTCGCTGTGCCAAGCTTCAACAGCGGATTCTCAATGTATTTCCTGAGTTCAGTTCCAGGTCTCAAAACTCGTCACTTCCACGTTCAGAAAGACAATTTACGCAAGTCTGGCCAACAACTGAATGTACTGCTCCAGCATGCTGCAACGTTGTCAGCTTCAGCTTCATGCAGATCAGGAGCTGGCAAACGTACGTGCAAGTCTTGTTGCGCGCTTGCTGGAAAATTCTATCCAGGTCGTTCTCCACCTCAGCTATTCTCTCTTCAGCCAAGCGCTGATATGAGTACTTGCTTGCCCAGCGTGCCGACAAAAACCTGGCAGGCCTCTGTCTTTGGCACACTTCAAGGAACCGCTAACTTCCAGCTGTGATATAATATATATATATATACATACACACAGACACACACACACACACATTTCAATTAACCACGACGCCGTGGCAAGAAGTGGCACTGCAGCCTTGGCACAATTATGCCGTGGCCGCGCAAGCTGTTTGCAGGCTTCCTCAGCAATGAGAGCATTAGAAGATGCGACCTTCTGTCAGGATCAGCTTTGCGTTTACAGGTAACTGGCAGCTGGTCGCACCAGGCCCTAGGCCATGTGTTGCTCCCTGAAAGTTTGCGTTGCAACCGTTGATGGTGTTTGTATCCAACGGACTGATGAAGCCGAATTCATACCCACATATAAGCCCTTATATACCCTTATATGTTCTTGTATTTTTACATATAATATACATATATATATATGTGCATATACACCCGCAGACGCATATATACCCACTTTATACCCGTGTATATACCCTTACGTATACCCCTCCTGAAAAAACCGCATTCCCCCACTTGCCGCCGACAAGCAAGATCCAAATGTTGCGCCGATTCATGTCAAACTGCGGGTGCTGCTTCAAACATGCCACAACCTTTGGGCATCTTGCTCAGGGTTATATAGGGTTATATAGGGGTTCTTTAGGGATAATGGAAAAGAACATGGAAACTACTATTTAGGCTTTAGGGTTTTATAGGGTTATATAGGGATTCTTTAGGGATAATGGAAAAGAAAATGGAAACTACTATAATGGGTTTATATAGGGGTTATATAGGGTATACATTGGGGTTATATAGGGATTCTTTAGGGATAATGGAAAAGACAATGGAAACTACTAAAGGCTTGGGATCGTCAAGGACTGCGCTTGCCAGTTTTAGTGAGTGACAGAAACGACTACTAGCACTCTTGCCATACACGCTTGTTCTGAGCGCGACTACTTTGAGATGTCACTGCACCATTTCCATACAAGACTCTAGGACGTGCAAGGTGTAGTGCAAGTCATGTTGCTGTCGCGTGCCAAGGGTACTTCGGTTGCAACAGACTTGGATTTCTTGCAGTGGCTCTTCTTACGACTTCTGCTTCTGCTGCTTCCAGGATGACGACGCCAAACCCACGAGCTTGGGAAAACCAGCCCTTTTCTATAGGAAAGCCGGGAACCCCATTGAACCCCGAGGGATTGGGAAGTCAACTAAGTCGACCCCAGGGGAGCGAATCCCCATGTAAACGCAGCGGTCAGGAGAACCCAGTATTCCCCCTATCTTCCCATATTCCGTGCCCACTTACTACGGTTCCTGCTGCTACTTTACGCACTGCTGCTACCACTATGGCTTCACTATTAGCTGCCAAATAGCTGCTGGAGCTCTGGTGGTACTACCAAATGTAGGGTTTAGGGTTCAGGATTTAAGGTTTAGGGTCTAGGGCTTAGTGACGACAACTGATCAAAGAATGACAATGACACCAACTACAGCCACCGCCACCGTGACGGACATGACTAGCACATCTACATACACCTGAAAATCATGAAGGTCTACGCGCAAAACGAACCCTACATGGTAGTGTCCATAAATAGGAGGACCCCAATGTAGACCCCGATGTTCTATATATAATCCTTATGATGACGACCCTACGTCCGAAAACCCTAGGCCCTAAACCCTGGTACTGCAGCCTTGCGCAGCCTCAACCCCTCGGGATTAAGATCGAAGCCGAACTGTCGATGTCTTGTGCTCCTATGCTCCTTTTCTCTCCAATGCATTGACTACCGCTGACCATCATCCACCAGTGGTGCAAAACCACTGAAACCCCTCCTGAAGTTCACAACGGTCAAAGTCTAGCAGACACCTCCTCGACCTCCTCCCGGAGGGCGAGTCCAGTTGGCTCTTCGAAGGGTTCAGAGGGCTCTTCCTGCAGCACCGAGTGAGAGCGAACATGAGACACAGCCCTCTCATAGCCGCGGGAAATGCTGAAGCAGGAGGAGCTGGCATGATGTAGATGACATGCAGTTTCAGGTGATGCCTGGGATGATATGGTTCTGGTGGTGGTGGTGGTGGTGGCGGCGGCGGCGGCGGCGGCGGGGGTGGGGGTGGCGGCGGTAGTGGCGGTGGTAACAAATGCCAATGAGAAATGTGCAGTATATGTGGGCTATCATAGCAACAATGCAGACATGCCTGGTCAAGCTGATAATGTGCATGAGCTGGGCGGGGGGGTCTTGAAATGGGTCTGGACCTGATGCCTGGGACGGCTGGGGCTATGTCGCAGGCAGCTGATAAGCTCAACACACGCGTCAGGTTTGCCTGCAGCCACTCAGCACATACCAAAGATGTGTCCACAAATGGCTCTGAACCCTGACCCCTCGGTACGGGAAACAGGGCCCAGCTCAGTCTCAAGACCTATCATTAAAGGTGGCCATCGGCCCTCGTGAAGCAATCAGTTTCGCAGTGGTTGGTGCAAGCAAACCGGCTTAAGACATCGCTATGCTAGGGAAGCACAATGCTGAATCAGGTATGTCCTCCTCTGGCTCCATTTCCTCCTTCTCGTCCTGATCCTCTTCCTGCTCACCCTGCACATGTGCACACGGCAGGATCGAAAATCAACTCGACCAAAATGGCTTTGGGTGATCATGTAATCCGTGCTGCTACTGCTGCCGCCGCCCTCCCGCCGCCACTGCCGCCGCCAACACTACAATAGCACCACTACCAGCCTCCAATGCGCCGTCAGGCGACCCCTTTTCCTCCTCAGCCTCCTTTAACTTCTTCGTGCTTCGGCCGCGCTTTACCTTAGACGTACGGAGCTCGTAAGGTCCTAGGACTTTGCAGACCTGCCTTTTGTGCCAGGGGCGCACAGTCAACATGTTTGGTTTGAAGCGCTGAGCTTATAGTTACTCAGAACTCAGAACACGCCCATTCCTGCAACAGGGCCTGCATGCAGCTGGAAGGACGCTGCGCCACATACATTGCAAAGTGACTATGCTGGTGGATCATGACCAGTAGATCAGCTTTCCATACCGCCAAGGATGCTCCGGCTAAAGTCCGCCAAGGGGCTTTCACCTGCTCGGCAAGCTGCTGTAGCTTCCTGCGCTTCAGGGCTGCTCAGGGATGAGACCCGAAACATGCTAGGTTGTAACAAGGGCAGCGTATCAAGACAAACCTGGAAGCTCGTGCTTGCAGTAGGCCAGCCTGTCATACTGCTCGATGAACTGCTTGTTCTTTTCATTCAGCTGCTTTCCTGATTAACATGACAGCTGGAAACCCTTACCGAATCCAACTAGCCAGTGGCACTTGATGGTTCTTACGGGAACATTCTTGTCGGCTCATGCTGCCCAGATCGTGCAAACAATAGCAACAGCAGCTAAAGATTTGAACTGCTGCAATCCCTGTAACAAAGTTCAAGGATCTTCGAAGCTTCTCGCTCTGCCAATCGCTGGAGGCTGCGTTGGTCTGAGGGGCATCAAAATCGGCAGCCAGTAGCACATCCCACTCCTGCACGCTTTAACAAGACTGCAAAGAACCGCAGATAAAATCACGAAAAGAAGTCTTAACTCCTTGTCAACCAACAAGAACCCAGAAAATCAACGAGATACTGTACATGGAAGTGTCCGTAGTTGAGGGGGAGGTATACTTTAGACCCCCATAAAAGGTACCCCGCTCCCCCTCTGAAACTTGGGGAAAGCTTCCGTCCTAACGTGCTCTCGTATAGGTTCTCCAAAGAGGAGGTTCTTGGAATTCAGCCACTCGGACCAAAGATGGCAAATCATAGCATGTTTTACAGCGCTTTTGCCCCTTAGACCAGCGTATGTTCTCGTGAAGCACAGGGGTGTTTCGCGGATTTTTCTTCAACAAAAGTAAGGAGATCCTTGGGCAACTCTACATTGAACGTTTTCCCTGCGCGTGCTGCTTGGAAAAGCCACACGATTTGCAGGCAGCGAATGGTTCACCTCAATTATAAGCTTTTCGTTCATCGAAGCCTACCCCGACATCAGGCAACCATGGTTCTCGTATGGGTTTCGGCGCTAAACGGAGGAAGCCACAAGGCTAAGGTTCAGGCTTTTTTTTTTTGCCTTCAAAGCACGTGAAGGTCTACAACTTCCACTACGGATTCTAAAAGCCTCGGTGGCAAAGACTACGTACGCCAGCAAGTTTTGCAGCGAAACAAAACGAATCTAAAAAAGTTGTCGCGGAAGCCCTGGCTCTCTCTACGAATGTCCAAAATCCCTACGTCTAGGACAACACTGATTTCCTGTTGGTATATGAACATAAGCTTTTGGGCCATCGAAGCGTGGTGAACATGCTGATGGGCTTGAATACAAAAGTGCAAATGTAGGAAGAAGGACAGTCACAGCATTCCCTGCTCTTTCTAGAGCAAGGACTTTTGCAATAGATTGTGGAGCAGCTCTGTCTGAGACTGGCACCGGCTCTAGAATTGCCAGACAACTTTGTTACAAGCCTTGCATGAAGACAGCCGGTTCACCACTTACAAGACACTGTCTAAGCCAGGTTTGCGTGAGGTAAGGTGCTGCCAGAATGCGGCTGCGCTCATGTTTCTGTTGGCCAGCTCTGAACAAATCTACATTCCACACTTGCCATGACTTCAGAATGCGCAAGCGCCATGCAACGAGTACTCGCCACATTGGGTTGACCAGTCACTAGACGTAATAGCTTTGCTAAGACGTAAGCACACGTGATGAGGCATGTGCCTCTCTTGTCCGAACTTGCTACATCTTTCCGTATGTGCAAGCGTGTATCTGCGCATCCTTCCTCATGCGGTAACGTACGTTACTACCCCCCTCCCTTGGAAGGGGAAACCTGGAAGCTGAAGCACGCGATCAAGCAGTCCTTCTTCGGAGAACCAGCAGACCCGATAATCCCTAAACCCGATATACCCCCTATATATCCTCTACTATAACCCCTCTGGGAAGTATTCATAACCTTGAGATACCCTCAACCCGAATCCCTAAATAGCTCTACATAAGCCCTATATCCTCTACAGGACTCCGTTGAAACTTACCCCCAAAAAGCCTAGTAGCCAGCCCGGGCTCCTTGCGTTTCACTCGGAAGTCCACCTGCACCCGATCGAGGTCCAGGGTTTAGGGTTTGGGGTTTAGTGGTTAGGGTTTGGGGTTTAGCGCTTAGGATTTAGGATTTGAGGTTGTTCCATGGCGGCGCTTGTTTGCTAGTCACTCTGTCCCCACTTCACTGTCCCTGCATAGCGCCAGTTTCCATTTCACTTTACTTTTCCTTCTCCAATTGATTCTCCATTATTGGTGTTCATTTAGGTCTCCAAGCCCCAAACCCTAAACCCTAATCCTTGGGGCCCTACCGTAGAATGTTTGTTGCAGATGCTTGGCCTGTTCAGCTTCATTGGTGTCACTGCAGAGCTTGGTGTCAATGTCCGCTAGTCGCCGCTTCACCACCCTCAGGGCCTAAGTGGGATAGGGGTTGTATAGGGGTTGTATAGGGGTTATATTGGGGTTATAACGGGGTTATCTAGGGATTATATTGGGGTTATTATTATTGCTATAATAATGGGCTGAGCCATACACGGCCATTCTGGGACGTGCAGTTGTCAGCATAAGGCGTGCTAAGAATTGCTAAGACCTCCACCGTGCGAATGACGCCTTCTTGGAAGGTCTCCTTCGCATTCCTGGGCGGTTGCAGTGGGTAGTTGCCGTTGTGCGCGGCCTCTACTCTTGCTGTTCCTACTTGTGATATCCCATCATATACCTCTTATGCAGAAGCCATGCTTGGCTGTCCACAGGCTGGTCGAGCAAATGCAGCTATGAAGCACAGCTTGGTGGCTGAGCCATTCCTCAGCACAAAGCTTCAGGGGTCTGGATACGCATGCGGGGATGTCAGATATTCCCAGCCACAGGCCCAGCAAGTCTGAACCCAAACATCAGAAGAGTCTCGCGTTTGTCAAGCATTGCCTTCAGCATCCTAATGCCAAACATCAACGCTCAGCATTACTAATTATTACTAATTTGGAGCATTCGCGCATGTTCCAATCTGACCAGGTTCTTTCAAAACGCAGCAAGCCTTGGAGAATTTAAACTCCAGGGCAAACTCATGCAGTGCCGACGCTCTGTCCAGGGGGAAGCACGCCGGGTAGAAGCTTCCTCGGCGTGAAGCAGCTTCATATGTGGTGCGTGGCTTTGCATGGAGCACAAGTGAAACTAACCCCCATATGTCCTCGAGAACCCCTTAAAAAGGCGCCGCTAATTTCCCCCCATAGTCGCCCGTAAGTAGACAGAATATGGAGTTGGCCAATCACATAATAAGATCACCATATATCTCATATTCTGTCTACATAAGATGGAGGCTTAACCCTAAATCCTAAACCCTAAACCCTAAATCTCATGGAAGTGGCTGGAATCCACGGGGCTGGAAGCAGCCTGCAGGTTCTCAGCCAAGCCTGGCTAGCTTCTGAATTGCAAGGGTTTAGGATTTAGAGTTTAAGAAGGGGGAATAAGGGAATCTGAGCCTTACCATAATTACATACCAACAAGAAACAGTGACCCTAAACCCTGAACCCTACAGACTATAGTTCTGGAAGCCATGCCTACACCCTAAACCCCTCAAGCCTAAACCCTAAACCCTAAAACCCTGAACCCTAAAACCCTAAACCCTAAACACTAAAACCCTGAACCCTAAAACCCTAAACCCTAAAACCCTAAACCCATCACTTGCCTGATTTGGTTGTGAGCTCGGAGTCGCACTCGAAATGGTTGACCAGCTTTGGCGCAGACAGGGTTTTCCAGTCCACCTGGCAGGGTCCCAGTTATCTAGGGTTTATGTAGGGTTGTATATAGAATTATATAAGGTTATATGGGGGTATATAGGTTATCTCGGGGCTGTATAGGGCTATATGAGCTCTATAGCGTTACATATTTGGCTACTGCGCCCACCCTGTAACAGTCTATGTCAGGGGTCATATGAAGGGCTACATGTACGCATATCATTGAACATCAACTGTTACAGTGGGAACAGTACCCAAACCATATCCACTAGCATTATCTGCTTCCAGGCTCTAGGACTGCCAGTAAGATAAACCGGCTCTTATTGCCTTTGGTGGCTGTTGCTACCAGACAATGGGTTATATAGGGATAATGGAAAAGAGAACGTAAACTACTATATCTTAATAGATTATATATTGGAGTTATAATAGCAACACAATGGCCACCATAAAGACTTCAAGCCCAAGGCGCGCCTTCACACGTGGCCCCCACTTCAAGTCAAAATCTGCCCTGGAATCGGGGTCCAGCTCCACGAACCCCCGCGACAGGAGCTCCTGCCGAACCTTCTGCAAATGCTCTCAAAGCGCTTGTAGAAACTTCCGGGCGGTGCTATGTCGGCCTGTTTAAGGCATATTCCTACTAATAGTACTACTATTTCTAATTACTACAGTTACTACTCTTCTTACTATTCTTACTACTATTACTAATTACTACGGCTATTACTGCTATTACGATTATTAGTGTTATTCACGTTGCTAGAAGGTCAACTCGAAGGTGGGCTACTTGCTTGCGCAAAAGTCTG